GTCTCCGCCTGCCCGGCCACGCCAGCGCCGACGGCGGCCTGGCCCGAGGCGCCTACTCGCCGCGGCCGCCCAGCATCAGCGAGCACGTGGCCACGGAGGCCTTGGCGGTGGGAGCGGACAGCGCCGGGCCCGAGGTGGGCCTCATGCTGCCCGAGGACGACCTCGTGCTGCCGGACGACGTGGTACAGTACATCAAGGCGCACGCGGGCGGTGCCCTGGACGACAGCCCCTCACAGGCCTATCCCCCCGAAAGCACCTGCTTCTCTGAGAACCCCAAACTGCCCAGCCCGGGGCTGCACGGCCCCCGCAGGATGGTGGCTGCGGACTCCAACGTGGGCCCCTCCGCCCCTGTGCTGGGAGGCTGCCAGCTGGGCTACGGGCCCCCCTCCAGCCTGAACAAAAACAACATGCCTGTGCAGTGGAATGAGGTGAGCTCCGGCACCATGGACGCCCTGGCCAGCCAGGCGAAGCCTTCACCCTTTTCGCAGGGCAACCTGGCTGTGGTGCAGCAGAAGCCGGCCTTCAGCCAGTACCCGGGCTATAGTCCACAAGGCCTGCAGCTGAGCCCGGGAGCCCTGGACAGCGGGCAGGGACACTTCCAGCCCTGCGGGGGAGGCCCCTCGGTGCCTAGGATAAATTACATGCAGCAGCTGCGGCAGCCAGGGACAGGTGGTCAGTGTTCCAATATGACCACCACCGTGAGCCCCCACACCAATTACGGCCAGGCCCACCCCCAGCTGAGTCCCAGTGCCATGGGTGGGACCTTGAACCAGTACCCCCCGTCCTGTAACAACATGGCAGCCAAGCCAGTCCACTTGGGGCTCCCCCAGCAAATGGAAATCGCTCCCGAAGCCAGCATGATGGGCAGCAGCCGCAGGGAACTCGGAATCACCAATTCAGCCCTGGCCGGGATGCCTCCGCTTCACTCCACCCAGAGCTACCCACAGCAGAGCCATCACCTGGCAAACCCCATAAGCCAGGAGAGCTACCGCCAAGGCCCCAACCTTCTACCTGCCCAGCAACCTGGCTTCATGGAACCCCAGCAGGGCACCGCGGGGGTACCCGGATCCAGCTTCGGCCTAGTTCAACCCCGGCCTCCCGCCGAGCCCAGCCCCGCCGGCTGCCACCGGGGGGTGCGTGCCGGGGTGCAGCTGGCCTACGCCAGAGCCACCGGCCACGCCATGGCTGCTGTGTCGGCCCATCAGGAGATGGCAGATGCGCCCAAGGGAGCAATGGGCGGCGTGGTGTCCCGGCCTCCCCAGCCCCCCCCGCAGGACACGGGTGGGGTCCCGGACCACAGCATGCTGTACTACTATGGCCAGATCCACATGTATGAACAGAACGGAGGCCTGGAGAACCACGCAGGCTGCCAGGTCATGCGGCCCCAGCCACCGCCGCCACAGGCCTGCCCCGACAGCATCCAGCCCCAGCCCTTGCCCTCTCCAGGGGTCAACCACGTGTCCAGCACTGTGGACTCCCAGCTACTGGAGGCTCCCCAGATTGATTTTGATGCCATCATGGATGAGGGCGATCACTCGAGCTTGCTCTCAGGCACCCTGAGTCCCAGCCTCCTCCACAGCCTCTCCCAGAACTCCTCCTGCCTCACCACCCCCCGGAACTCCCTGACTCTGCCCTCCATCCCCACGGGCATCAGCAACATGGCGGTTGGGGACATGAGCTCCATGCTCACCAGCCTGGCAGAGGAGAGCAAGTTCCTGAACATGATGACCTAAGTTCCCAGCCCCTGGCGCTCCGTGGAGCCGGAGGAACCTTCATTTCCCAGAGCACGGGAGTTCTAGTTTGTCTTTTTCCAAAAAAAAGTATTAAATAGGTCTGAGGGAGTTTTGCCAATGGCCGGTCCGGACCACAAATGCTTTAAGGGCAGCTTCGTGTGCAACCTGTCTGGTCGTCTTCGGGATGGCTTTTCAGAACACTTTAAAAAGTCTCAACAAGAAAGGCAAGGCAGGAGCGAAAAACTCGTTTGCACAGTGCTTCCCAGCCTTTGGTGTTTATAGGACCAAATTGTTCTGGCTTCTTCACCTCTGTCATTTGGCTAATGAGGGATTACGCTGGCCAAAGGCTTTCCAAGTACATGAGGAAAGAGGGTAGAGGGAACCACATTTGGGTTTGAATCCGAAAGCCATACTGGATATTCTAATCCAGGAAGAGAAGTTTCTCGTTCCCGTACCTGCAAGGTAAAGGAATTCCTGGCCCGCTGGAATTCTTCTACGAAGCTTACTTCTTGAGGCCTCTCGCATCCCTGTGCCACAGAGGAAGAAAACAGATTTTTACCTGGATGATTTGGAAGCACGTCCTGATTCCAGGTCTGGTAGAGCTGGCATCTCTACCCCGCAAAGCCAAGTTTGCGACGGGCAGGCTGTTCAAGTGTATACGAATGACTAAAGAATGGAAGTATTGCCAGAAAAAAAGAAAAATTGTAGTGCTTGGGGCAAGCCCAGAAGCTGCCCTAGCCTCTCCAGACCGTGTTTACAGTGTTCATGCATGTAGAATGTAGCCCTTCCTGGAAAGAACACTTCTAAATACCTCGGGGTGGCTGGAGCTGCTATGGGCTATGGATGGACCCAGGTGAGCCGACGCCTGGCACGGGACCTCCAGAAAGTGGGAGAGCGCCAGGGACCCGGCCTCAGGCCACCCTGGAGATCTCCCATAGGAAGTCGTATGTTTACCCAATCCTGTTTCTCCGATGCACTGTCCGCCCACTTTGCCACGGAAAACCCCAGGACTTTGATGGCGGCCTCTGCCCAGTCTCCCCCAGGCTGTGTTGTCCGCTTACCTGCAGCCCAGTGGTCTGTGCCAAGGTACAACATGACGTCCCGGGGTCTTCTGGGTTCCCTCCCCTCTGTCCTGTTCATTCCGCAGAGCACGATGACCTGCATGGTGTTTTTGGTGGGGCTGAGTGGGTGAAGGGGTTGTTTCCTGGGACTCTGAGGGACCATCCCTGAATTTTCCTGTTCGCTGTGAACAAGCCCCACCTGGAAGTGGAACTTGGGACTGGTATCAGAAGACATCGTTCCTGAACATACTGTAGGGCGAATGGATACCTCCCCCCTCCCCCCACCACACACACATACACACACCCCCACACCTTTCCCACGCTGAATTTGTGGCGACCTGGCCAAAACCAACCACACCACTGTGAGCCTGATGATAACCGTGACCCTGGCCTCGGCCACGGCAGGGCCAAGATTTTCCCTGGGCCCTCTGCATCCAGAACATCAGACGCTTTGTTAGGGTCCAGAGACAAAGCCAAGTCCAAATAACAGCCCTGGGACCCCTCCGAGGGCGTGGGCTCCGTGGTGGTGTTTGTTCACTCCCTGAGCTAGGATTCCACTAGCCGTCCCCAGCCTGTGTATAACCTGTACAGAAGGCGTCGTCCCTGAAAATACTGTAGGTGAATCATCCAGCCAAATTTATATCTCCAAAATATTTAGCTTTTTCTACATGCTATGAATTGAGATGACACACTCAACTTGTAAATAAGTCTTTTTGTACATTAAAAAAGTAATTTTTTCATAATTTATTTTGTCTATCTGCTTTGCCTTGACAGTAGTTAATGAGAACCCGGGCAGTAAATTTGGTGCATTTGAACAGAAACTAGGCTGTATTTTTTTCACAACAGTGTCAAAATTGACTGTCCCGCCTTCACCAAGAAATGTTTAATGCTGAGGCATTTACTGGCTGTTTGTTGGTTGTCTCTGGGGGCGAGGGGTGGGCAGGGTTTGACGATTTACAGTGCCTCCCTGGCTTTCCTTCCAGCGAGCTGATCTGAACATCTAGGTTGGTTTGCTGAGAACCATGTTCCAGGCACATTTCCAAGCACTCGCCCCAAGCAGTCCTCACGTCAGGATTCCCTCCTTGACAGGCAATCTGATGAGCACATTTGAGTCAGGGTGGGGGTCGGGGGGAGAAGATCAGCACCCCCCTGTGCTCTGGTGCAGGCACAAGAAGAAAGGACAGGCAGGTGGAGCCCCATATACCCAGCAGCCAGCCTTGGGCGATGGGCCCTGTGGGCAGCAGTCATGAACAGGAACTCAGCCCAGGAAGTGACCCTGACAGGTGCACAGGGAGCACTCTGATCTAGCAAGCCAGCAGTCAACCATTAAGCGGCGGCCAGGCCACTACAGAGAACCTCAGGGGGCCAGTGCGTAAGGCATGCGGTCTGAGATGATTTCTGGGACAGAAGAATGAAGAGGAGGGCCTAAGGCTGGGTTGGAGAGAGTAGAAGTCACCTTCTGTAGGGCTGGGTGCTCTGGGCCTCTGAACTTCCTTCTCTCTATGAGAAAAACCTTGACACCCAGCTCAGAGAGTCCAGAGCCAAAGCCATGTGGAGGGCATTCGGCTCTGCGGCTTGGAACCGAGTGGACTAAAGAAAGGCTGTCTGGTAAAGAAAGTAGGAAGCCCCCAAGGAAAATAGAATTTAGCAGGCTGCCTTTCTACGGGGCACCCCAAAGTCTTCCCTGTGTGTCTGGCCGGAGTTTCCTGATGGAAAGACTACAGCCAGAGTCACACTCCCGGCCTCACTCCTCCCCAGGGAACACTCACTTAGCTGACTGCACCCTCGGGAAGAGGAGCCAAGCATGCCTGGCTGGGCCCTAACTCTGCCTCCTTCAGAGCTTATCTCGTACCTTCTCTGCTTCACTACGTGGGAAGTCTCTGGAAGCAGCTCTGCCCTGCTCTGGGGGGAGGGGTCCGAAGTTATTCAGTGCTGCCTGAGACTTGATGAGTCACAGCACTAAGAAGTGCATCTTGGCCATTCAATGAGCCCCATGTCCCCATCAGTTCACTATGGCCGGAAGCATGCTGTATACCAATACCCGCGAAGCTTCTGCACAATAAGCCTCTGGGCCAACTGAGGGTTGGCTGATCCAGGTTGGGCTGGGCCAGGCACTTCTGTGCATCAGCTGTGGGAAGCTAATCCAGTCAGCTTGGCCGGGGAAGCACGTATCTGCCTCACGTGGCTCTAACCCTTCTCCTAGGGCCAGGATGCTGGCCTGGCCATTGCCTTCTTGTAGCAACAGCAGGTGCACAAGAAAATAAACAGGAAAGTGACAGTCTTCTTTCGGCCTCTGCTCACAGTACACCATGGACCACCTCATTCTTCTGGCCAAAGCAAGTCACGTGGCCAAACCCATTGTCAGTGACATCGGCAGGTGCTCTCCTTCTGCGGAAGGGAGAGAGAGAGCAAATATTTCTCAATAATACGTAATTCAGGGGCACCTGGTCGGCTCAGTCGGTTAAGCCCCAACTCTTGGTTTTGGCTCAGGTCATGATCTCACGGTTCGGAGTTTGAGCCCCACGTCGGGCTCCACGTGGACAGTGTGGAGCCTGCTTGGGATTCTCTTCCTCTCTCTCCGTCCCTCCCCTGCTCTCTCTCTATCACTCTCTCTCTCTCAAAATAAATAAATAAACTTAAAAAAAAAAACAATATATAATTCACCGCAGTCTACCCTCATCAAGACTGTGATCCATACCTCTCCCACATGTAGAATATACTCATCCCAGACCTCCCAAAGTCTATCCAATCAATCGTCAGGCTCAAAGTCAGGGATCTTGTGATCTACACCTGTTTTGGATGTGGCTCTTGACCCAGAGACTTAGGAACTAAGAAGAAGCTCTCAGCCTACACCACACATACACCCTCCCAGCATACGGTGGTGGCCCAGACCTAGATTCACTGCAGTTACCACTCAGTCATTGGTCCACAGTATCTGACACCTGCTGGGCAAGTGTTGCCGGTGCCCCCACCAGGTGGAATGTTCCCCGAATGGCTCCCCAGTCCATTGTGCACCACACCTCTGGCTTCCACCATTGGGGTGTTCTTCCTTTTGCATCAACCCTTCAGCTTCTGAAGAGGCCATTGGGAAGCATGCCTTCTGGGAGAGCAGAGGGACCCTTCAATCTCTTCCTGTGTGAAGTAAGTTGAGGAGCCTGAGATCCTTTACATTTCCAACACCTTCTTTATTCCTCGCATTTGCCCATTCAGCTCTCTCTTGTGGGTTTTCTGCATACTTGATTCCAGGCCACTCTCTGCCAAAAGCCACGCCTGTGTCCCTCTGGTGACGTGCCTCACCCTTCGTTTGATGACTGGTACCTCATGTCATGCTATGTGGGGCCATGCCCCGAAGGTTTCTAGGCACCCTGTTGTCACCCTAGAAAGGTATTCTAGAGTCGCCTCGTTCCTTCCAAGGACTATAAGACAAAGGGCATTAAAATCAAAGGACACATCCCTGACTTCGTCTTTTTTTTTTTTTTAATTTTTTTTTTTCAACGTTTATTTATTTTTGGGACAGAGAGAGACAGAGCATGAACGGGGGAGGGGCAGAGAGAGAGGGAGACACAGAATCGGAAACAGGCTCCAGGCTCTGAGCCATCAGCCCAGAGCCTGACGCGGGGCTCGAACTCACGGACCGCGAGATCGTGACCTGGCTGAAGTCGGACGCTTAACCGACTGCGCCACCCAGGCGCCCCCCTGACTTCGTCTTTATTCCGACGCCATATTTCACTTGGAACTGCCCTGGATTCGGTATCTGCCCCCATCCCAAACCAAATCTTAATTTGAAGATCTTAGGGGCTGAAGAGACTGGAGGTGAGAAATAATTTCATTCTCTAAATTCCGCTTTTAATTGGCCAGGTCCTTTCTGAACTCCTCTCTTACTTGTAGTACCTTATCATTTACAGCTCAAAAAAGCTCATGTTTACAGCCTTCTGCCTG